GGGAAGCGAACAGCAACCCGGGGCCTTCGGTCGGTGGGACCGGCGGCCTCGTCCCTCCACGGGCCGAGGCTTCTGCAGCTCCCTGCCAGGAGCAGGGCCTCCTCGGTCCGCTGGGGCTTTAATTACAGAGCAGCTCATCCCGGGCCTTGTCGGGGCGTTGGGCCCACAACCATTTAATCCTGTTTATTTTATTTGTGCGCCGCACATCTCTTGCATCACTGCATTTCTAAGAGATGGATGAGGGGACGCTGTCCCCTTACAAATGTTAACTTTCCATAAATGGTTGTTCAGATGGTTTTAAAACCAAAGTAGTCCACTGAGAGAGAACTACAGAGGGCACGGCAGCCCCCAGACCAGGATGGCGTTTCCCTCGCAGGCCAGCTCCCGCTCTCAGGAGCCTTCGGTGTCGGTGTTGTCGCTGCCGGTGGTGTTCTCCCAGTCCGCCTCGTGGTGTCCGTCCTTCGGTACCCTTCGCATTGCTCTTTTTCTGAAAATGAGACTAGATGTTTCATTTTTAGAAGATGTTTTCTGCAAACAAGCAATATTTGAATGTTTTGGGGAGTTCGGTGGGGATGTTCAGTATGTATCAATCCACTCAGTGTTTAATTGAAATGACCGTCTGCTCACACCCCCAACAAAGCTGTGACTGGAAGCAAGCATAGGGTAAAGAGAATTGGTCTAAACTGATGAAGACATTCTTACATTTCTTGAAGCGTGGTGTATTGTTGATGTTCAGTTGAAGAAGCCAAGAAATCCTACCCAAAGTCCTCTCTTTAATAAAAACAGTATTGTCAGCAGTCAGAAGAGTAGTTTACAGTGACATTAGGAGCACCTCTATCTAATGCTAGAACTTAGGTCCCTGTTTTACACAGTTTTAATCAGTCTCATGCTCCATAAAGGCAGTGATCAGTGAAGACACCAGACATTTGGAGAACAGGCCTTCCAACAAGAGCATTTGAAGAAGACAGGGGGGAAATCTGTTCCCATTCAGAGTCATGGGAGCTTGGTCTTGAAAGTCAGCAGTATGTCAGATGGAGAGTGAATGTCAGATTTCACTCGCATGGGAGAAATCTATCAAATTTATTAAACTTGCAGTTCTTTGGAGCACCCTCCACTCCCTGCTGTGGAACCATCTGCGTGGTTCACAGCAAATGCAATCATTGCTGTCTTGGCTACCTCTGGTACTAAAACAGGAGTCTCAACCAGTTCAGCTAGGAGCATAAGCCTCTGAGTGAGCAGCTGCATGGTGCTTAGTTGCTGGCTGGGGTTAAACCATGACAGATCTGTAATGAATTTATGTTCATCATAAATCAGACTTGGGGACGGGGGATGGACAGAAAAGAGGAAATACATACAACAAGCTAATAATTTAAGTCACTCAGTTATGTCTACATTAGTCCTGCTTACTAAAGTCCAGACCTTCGGTAACGCTCAAAGCAGTCCTTCATCCTCCTCCGCTCCTTTTCTGCCAGTTCCTCATTGGCTAAGCCACACTCCTTGAACTGGAAAAAAATCCAAACAAATGTGAACTGGATTCCTCAGAAGATCAGACCAATCTTAGCACCAGGGAGTGCAAACCTACTCTGCAAAGGTGGCCGGTTTTGAGGCTGTTGTATTGCATCTGGCTGCTGCAGACCACCCAAATAAGCTTGGTCATTTCTCCTCTGACTTGTTTGTGCAATTAATCATTTTTAAATTTAAATGAAAGAAAAAAAAAAAAAAAAGGAACCTATGCCTTCAGATGACCAAGAACAGCTGTTCACTACCAAAACTTGCATCCAGGAAAGCAGTCCACTGCGTACAGCTAGCTTCCTGCATCTGCTTGGGCCTGCAGAATGAAGTACAGCATGTTCATTTCTGGGCTGTCCACTATTGTGTGTGCAGGGTGGTAATACATCTGTTTCACATAGTTTTACCATCTTTATTCTCTCCCATTTGTAAATATGGGATTCTCTTTCTTGTACAAACAGTAATACTGCAGACAATTAAACTGGAAAACATCCATACCCAGAGATGAAGGCCAGAAAGTAATTAGAAGAAGCTTCTAGGCACAGAGAAATAACCACCATAAGTGTTCTGCTGTTTAGAGCTCACCCTTTTTGGAGGGTGAATTTTCCACAAAGTGCTTAGCTTTTAGAAAAGCGGCAGCTGCTCACACGCTTCTCAAACCCGGTAAATCCATCATTAACAAGAACATTAAAGGTCACAAACCCCAGTCATAGTAAAGAAGAGCCCACAAAGATTCTCTTACACTGCGTGAGTTTGGAGGCAGACTGCTCTCTCGAGTGCTGAATTGCTGGTTTTGTCCTTCAGCGCAATCTTCTAAGAGAAGGAAAAATTACAGCTTTAGTCATAGTTGCCATTGCGAAGTAACTTCTCCCTCTGCCAGTTCATCCAACAGCAATAGTGCAATGTCACAGCTGCCCAGCAGTACCCAGAGTCAACAGCAGAACTGAAACCAAGCCTCAAAATGTTCAGGATTCAGTCCTGTGATCAATGCGCAAGTCACTTCTCATTTACTTGAACCCTGAACCTTGCTTAGGATGATGGATTTCCCCATCAGGCTCAGAAAGAGACATCAGCTTTCTAGTTTCTGCTTATGCAGGAGCAAACCAAACCTTTACAAAAAAGCATCTCTGCTTAGCATCATTAAAAAAAAATAATCATGTTGGAGGTCACCACAAGACATCACGTTAATCATTTTAACCATAATTTGTCCCCGTTCCCGAACAACTAAGTTGTGTGTATCAAGCACTTCACATCAGACTGTATTTTAGTGAAACTCCTTATGTAACGATCAGGTATTGTGCTACGTGTTTTTGAACTGAGCGAGGTAGAATAATAAAAGGCTTTTTGGATCAGTGTTGTTTAGGTTTTGTGAAAAATCTCCCATCTCAATGAATTAAAAGATCGTTTAGATCTTCCAGGAGATCAGAACAGAAAAATTCTTCTACTGTGCTAGTTTCCTTCCTTTCTCAACATGTTTTGAAAGAGAATTTCAAGTTCTTAGAGGAGCCTATTAATTCATTTCCACACTGCTGAATCATTTCCACTAGGGATGCCACAGAAAAAAAGAACCAGTGACAACATTAACTACATGGTTCTGCTTTTGTGAAAATAGCCTGCAACATAAAAGGGAAGAGGGGAGGGAAAAATCCCTGGAGAAAGCCACATGGTCCAGCTGAAGTGGAAGGATGTCTGTTCTGTTCTGTTCTCAGCTCTGCCACAAATGCAAGAGGACTGGGGGGCAAAAAGGCACCCAGGAGCTATTTCTCAAAGGCACCAGGTGATTTTTCCTGGACAAATTCAGTAGACAGATTACCCCCTAAGAAAAGACGCGAGCTCCTAGGATGGTCTAATGACACCACTTTTCCCAGGTCATTCAGCTATATGAAAGACCCTTTCAGAGACCATGTAGTAAAAAAGACAGCCTGTGGAACTTCTTCTCTCAAAAAATCTTAACAAACATTCACTGTTCCCAACATCTGGGGACATGCTGTCCTTTTTATAGGTGAGAAAGATGGTGGTATGGCAGAATGCCTTGATTTATGGGTACCTATTCTGAGTCATCTCAAGGAGGTCTTACTCAGAGTGCCAAGCACACCGCACTGAGAAGCGTCTCACAAACTGAGTTGCCAGTCAGACTACCTGTTCTTCACTAAAAATAAAACCCAGGAATATTTTTTCCTGTCCCTTTGAAACACTGGACCATCCTGTCAAGAATTCTACTCTACATTCTCCCAATAAAAGCCTTACTTTTAGTCGGTTGTGTATCTTCATCTAGATGACCGTGAAGAGTAAGCTATGGGACAGAAACAAAGCAAGAACATGAGAACTGCCCCTTATTCTGTCTCACACAGTAGTTAGGAACAGATGGAGGAATAAAAGAAACAGGACATGCGTAGAACTGACCTTTCCTTAGTGCATTTTGCTGTCAGCAAAACAGGAGGCTGAGCCAGAAGTTACAGATCTACTCATGGATTTATCCTCCATGAGTAGATCCAGTTCGTTTGGCCTCATTTATACTTCTAGCCTCCAGACAGCGTGACAATCTCTTTCACACTGAAGTTATGAACTAAGTCAAAACTCTTTACCACAGATGTCCCCAGGGTAAGACTTATTTTTGCCTGTTCTCCCACAAGAGAGACAATTAGAAGCAAAGTAATTTGATTCCCCTGATTTGCTTAGACTCAACAAATCTTACTGACTAAATGCCATAACTGTGTCCTACACTTAGAAATCTCAGGACACAGGGAGATTCTGTCACTGGTCTGTTTTGCTGCCTCTCTACTTTTTGATAGCACTGAAATGAGCCTGAGCCATGGATTGAAAACTGCTGTTACTGAGGGAACTGAGCACAAGTGTGGAATTTGAAACCATTCCAGAAGAAAGTAATATGTAAACAAGGCACCCTACTCACTTCCTGGGAATCTCTGGAGGAGGTATCGTCCAGGTCAGAGGTCTGAAATAAAAACAGTATAAATTAATCATTCCTCATAAGCAAGGAAGTGGTAGTAAGGGAATATACAGGAGACTGAAAGCTCCAGAAAACAGAGAAGTGTGGACTTCCTCCCTCCTATACTCCTGTCTGACCACTTGGAGAAAGTACACAAGATGCCACATTAATTAAAATCCCTTGTATATCTAATTTCATTCCAGAAACTTTAACAGCCTTACACCTGCTCCCATTCCATCGAAATGGCTCACAGACAGTCTCTAAATAGAGTTCACTCTTTGGTGGTTGAGGATCCCCTCACATCTTTGGACATGCTCCAAACACAAACACAGAAGGCCTCATCACAGCTTGCATCAATCCAGCTTATCCATGCCTGGAACCAGGGTGAGGTAATAGGAACCATCATGTCTTTCATTTTTCTAAACTCGGCATTTGCATGGAAACGGTTACCCACACAGCTGGCCACTGCCTGCTGAATTGAACTGGTTAGGTGCAAAGGCCTCGGAACAGCCACACTCTGGCCCCATACTCAGCTTCCCAACCCATCATACAGATGACAACCCCGCAGACATACCGGTGTGGGTAGCTCCAGTTGCAAACTTTTCAGCTTGGCTTCAGTAGCCAGTAACTGACTCTCCTTTTGGAAGAGCTGCAGTTGCATTTCGTCACATCGCTCCCCCAGCTCCCGAATCTGCTTGCGGTAACCGTCCCTCTCAACCAGGTTCTTGGAGTACTGCATATAGAACTGTTCTCGGGTCAGGAGTGCCTGGCGTAAGGGAGAACACATCGTGGCATGTCACACAATAGTACATTCAGGGTTACAGTATCTGCCCACTTCAAGCAGCGAAGCAGGGATTAGCAGCAGCTCCAAGAGGAATGTTTTATCACCTGGTCTCTTTCTGAAGCCACTTCCTCCATCTGCTGCAAGACAGCTTCAATCCGTTTTTTATACATCTGGGAGTCCTTCCTCAGAGATGTGCACTGTAGTTCAAGCATCTCTTTTTCCTCTGCATACTGTTGAGACAAGGTCAAAGGCACCCTGCTTGTGGGCAGAGCCTGAGCTACACTCTGACCGCTTCTGCTCTGTGCCACAGATTGCTATGGCCAGACCTCCGTGAAATGTCAAAGTTCAGCCAGACTGCCCAGTTGGAGCAAGGCCAACCAGCAGGTTGGTCAACATGACTAGGAGGACTGCTAACGTGATAGATTTATGTGTACCCGAGCTGTCAATCATGATAAAAGCTCCCATTACACTCCAGGCTGAGGAAGGAACTGTTAATTAACACAGGCATTAACAGTAACAGTTAATGCCACAGACACAGAACACTAAAATATTAGTGTGCCTTTTTTCAACAAACTACAACACAGACACTAGAGTAGGAACAGCAAGGATGACTGCTGAGCAGCTCCTCTGCTCCATAGGCAAGACATTACAGGTGCTTCATCTGCCTATCTTACACGCTGACCCTCAGCAGGAATTTGCAATGCATCACGTACTTTGTCTTGGAGCACCTCAGCTCGCCGCAGCTCCTTGCGAAGGCTGTAAATGGTATTCATCAGCTCCCGGCGTTCTTCTAGTATCTGGCTACAGTCATTCTCCAGAGTCTCACTGGACAGGCTCTTCTCCAAATTCTGTTCCCTGGCAGCCTGCTGGACAAAAAAAAAAGTGAGATACAGCAACCATCTAACTCCATATTAAGTCTTTCCCCACAGTCTTAAGTGCTCTATTTGACTTGGGAGAACAAGGCCACAGCTGACCCACACAATCTTCAGTGCAGCCCCACCACTGCCCTGGCTGCTACAAATAATCACTTCTCAGGAGTCCATATTCAACCACCCCCCACCAACCTGGAGAGTGTTCTCCAGCTCCTGATTCTTGGCCAAGAGCAACTCCTTCTCCTGCTGGATCTCCCACATCACCTCATGGCTTGGGCGCTGCTCTATGGCGTGCTTCAGTTTCATCGTGTGCTTATGCTCCAGTTTGCAGTCATCCTCAGCCTTCATGAGGCTGTGCTTCAAGTGATCGATCTACAAGAAGGTTCAGAGCTCATCAGTAACAAAGAGAAAACTCTGGCCTGCAAAAGCAGTTCTCATTTCATTCCCCAGACAAACATGGGGCAAGTTTCTCCCCAGCTTTGTTTTCCTCGGGATGCTCAGTACTCTGGGGACCAGAGTCTTGCATTTGTGCTAAATGGATACAACATGTTGCTCTTGTGAGAGGGCCCAGTCTTGAATGAGGGCAAGACTGCTAATTCTTCACAGCATAACTTGTGATACATGGTCCAGCTGGTCTGAACTAGGGATCACCAAGACATGCCACTTGCTAGAGAAGATGCACAGAATCTCATGCTGGACTGGTCCAGACCATCCTGGGCAAAGACAAGTCTGGTGCACACCACAGTCTTCCAGGGATCAGGTAAGAAGGAGGAAGCTTTAGAAAAGGTTGACTGACCTCTAGGATCAGGTCCCGGTTCTTCATGAGGGCAGCGCTCTTCTCCTCGCTCTGTTTGGCGTAGCTCATTGCCAGGTTGTAGTTCTCGTCCTTGCACTTCCGCAGCTCCTTGCTCAGGCTGTCCCTCTCCTCCTTCATCTTCTGCGCCCGCTCTTGGTGCTTGCGGAGCAGGCTGTCCCTCACCCACATCTCTCTGATCGTGTCCTCTTTGGTGTGCAGCCACATGGTGAGCTCCTGGGCCTTCCGGCGCTCCTCCTGCACAGTGCTCTGCAGCTTCATGATCTCGTTCATCAGGAGCTGGCTCAGGCCGGATTCCCCAGCGGTGTCTGTTTGGTGGGCAGGTGTCAGCCACCGCTGTCCTGTCTGCTCCCCGGACACACATACAGCACAGGTTCCCACCCACTTACTACTGTAGCTTGGGATCATCACATGCCACGCACAAGCATGTGATGCAAACCCTAAAGACATGTGGAATCAAATTATCTGTTTCCACCCTGCTCTGTGCATTTCTACACCACAGTGTCAGTGACAGAAGAGGTAGAAGGAAGAATTGATCCTTCTGCTTCCTCCTGCACCCTCCCAGGTCCAGCCTGTGATGCCAGACAGCAGGGCCATTCTTGCTAGAACCCTTCTGAAGCACTAAGGGAGCAAGCCAAGGAATGCTCCCAACTCTGCTCAGTGAAGCTGGGGAGAGACAAGAGCTGAGGCGAATCCCCCCTTAATTTGCACAGCAACACTAAATGTATAGCTGTTTTTTCAGAACACAAACATTACCTATAATCATAGAGAAAACCCTGCTGGGCTCCTTGCCAGTTATTTTCTTATACAGTTGCGGATAATAAAGCTCAAGACTCTCCAGAAACGCCTCAAAGCCCTTGTGTCCTGTTCGTTGAAGAATGTCCAGAAGAACACCTGAAATAATGGCAACAGGATATTCTATTCGTTTATTTATCTCTTTACCTACTTCTAACATAACAAAACATTACTCCACTTTCTCCACATGCAGATTAAGGTCCCTGGGACCAAATCCCCCAGCCAATCTTAAGCCAATTGCCCAGTAGCTATATAAAAGTATTTTAACTGTGAAGGAACAGTTAAAACTTAACCCTTGTACTGAGCTCCTACTACACTGCATGCAAAAAGCAGATCTCAGAAGAACACTTTGTTATCCTGCTGATACTTACAGAAAACACAAGTTAGAACAAAGCACCATGACAGTTTCTGCAGCTCAAGGCTCCACTTCCAAATACCAGAGGCAAATATAGGAAAAAAGGATCACTAGTGTAAGAACACTGTGTATAACTAGAGAGGTAGCAGGGACAAGCCTAAGGGAGCCTGGACTAAAAAGACTTTGAGCTCAGTTCCCTACTTTGTTTAGAAATACTCTGTACCAAATCAAGCCCAGGGGGCTTTCTTTTCTGTGTTCTGCAGTTTCCCAATCTGGAAAACAGGGAAAATAATTTTTTTTCAATGACCCTCAGTAATTTATCAATAAGAGTTAATCCAATCCAAAAGATGTACTAATAGCATAATGAATTCTGTCATTCTCTCTGGTTGGAACAAGACCAGGACTGTATAGAACAGTCACGAAGAATTTACTTAATGTGCTGCCAACGTTCCCTCGAACACCAGAAGACAGGAATGAGGGACAATACATACTGAATTAATCTTGGAAATCTCCTCCTGCAAAATTGTTACACAAGAATAGCCTTGTGGGTTAAACCCAAGCAACTCCCTCCCTTACGCTGATCTAGAGATCCAGAACACCAAAAAGCCGCACACCCTCTGTGTTCCCATTCCCCTTACACAGCTCGGGAATGCATTGATAGAACCATCTCCATTCCTCCTCTCCACACAATCATGTGCTGGGGAAAGGGAGAGGAAAGGGGCTGCACAGCAGTGCCTACAACTTTCATGTCTAAACACAAGCAGATGGTAACCCAGAAGCAATGCATTCCTTCAGGCTCAGTCTGTTAGCACCCTGTTTCAATCTGCTCCCAAGAACCAACAAAGCATGGGAGCATCTACAGAGCCGAAGGCTGCGCTTCACCCACCTGCCTTCCGTTTGCGCATGACCAGGCTGGGGTCATTAAGAACTTGTTCCTCGTCATCATGGCTGATCACTTTGCACTGGCGAAGATAGGGTGTTATACGGGAAGGATCTATCACGGAGATCAGCTTCACCCGGAAGTTCTCCAGGTTATTCCAACATGTCTCATCATTATCTTCTTCCAACATGTTGGTGAGTGAGAAGTATTAGTGAGCAGTGTTGTCCTGTCTTGAAAACAAACAAGCAGACTTTAAGCCTCCTAGAGTAGTGGCGGCAGGTGATGAAACCAAGTATGTTAACAGACTGAGAATGGAAAAGTGTCTTTTAGATACAGGAACACATCTCCCACGAGGTCTTTAACTCAGAACTTGCAAATCACCTGCTGAACATGGTGATACCCTACAGTCATACCTGAAAGAACAGTGTGGTACCAGATACCAACAGCTGCAAGGCTAGCGCTAATGCTGCTGACACATACGTGAAGGAGAGCTAGTGTGAAATTCGGAGAAAATAGAAGTCACCAAATATTGATGATCTCCCTCCAACCAGCTGAACATCTCCCAGCAAGAGGAAAGTGAAACTATTTAGCAACAGGTCCATTGGCAATAAGCAAGTCATTGAGAGCCCCATGAATAGAGGAAAATCCAGTTAACTAGATTCCCAACAGCATACCCCTAGAAAGTGCTGTCACATCTCACTGACTTCACCATGGGTTCTCCAGATGCTCAGCTATGCTTACAATTAAATCTTTAATCCCCATAAACAATACAAAAAGGGTGGAACACAACACAGGATAAGCTGATGGCAAACCACAACTTTCCAATTTGAAACTAAGCATCCTCTGGAGTGAAAACATCTTTAAAGCTCTCCTAATTAGCTGTTGCCTCTGCTTTATAAACAGTTCACACTCTTCTTTCACCATCTCCCAGCATTCGAGATCCCTGTATTCTGTCTGACCACACAGTCACTAAATCTAACACCCACAAAAGGCTCTGTGAAAACCCCCAGTGGCAATAGCCTTAACCGTGTTCAGCTGTAATCATACAAAAGCTGTTTTTCTGCACAGTGTGCTTTATCCCTGTGCAAGGGGAACACACAGCTGTATAGAATTTTCACTGTAAACAGAGGTGCAAATCATGTACCAGGAAACCATGAGGTCAGCTGCCTCTCACATCCACCTCACAGATTCCACCTGTGCAGCTTCAGCACTATGTGCTCACAAACACCACCTGTGTGACTAACACACAGACACATGGAGAGGCCATGGAAGCCTTCCCAGTGATGAAGAGTGCTTCTGTGTGTTTGGTGGGAGCTTGTTGCAGTGCTCCCCTTCAGCAGCTGTACTCCGAGGTTCCTAGTTACCTGCCTCCCGACAAGAGCCTGCTATTAACCACAGGGTCAGAAAAACTACTACTTCTCAGCCTGGAAGTGCGCATGTAAACAGATGCAGAAAATCCAACACTTCTATACCCAGGCTTCTTTGCCTTTCAAATAAGAAACTGGCATTATTTTTATTTCTTTGCCCCTTTGTGGTCAGACTGTTCCATAATGAGTACCTTCTGAAATGCCAGTCATTAATTACTATGCTTATAATCACATGTATGAGTTGACTGCAGTAGCCATTGTCATTTCCAGTGGCTCAGGAAGAAACCTTAGTATTCACATTTTTAGTCACGTTTTTGGGGGCAGGGAGGGTGGGAACAGAGTTCTAACCATCAGCAGCTATACATGGGCTGGGATTTCACACACATCTTACTGCATCTCTCTCCAAGGTCATCTCAAGCCTTCATTGTTTTTGTGCTCCAGCATCTTCAGCACATACTTGTTACACATTACATTGTCAGTTAACTTTAATGAGCTGGACTGACATAGAACTAGTCATTACTTAGCACAGAGAAAATACTCTGCTCTGCCCGACAGCAAACCAGCTCCAGCAGATTACAAGAAACGCATTCCCCTGTTGATAAACACCACCTCCTTACCTCAGAGCTGCAAAACAAAAATTCTCCTTGTTAATATAAACCATTCTGCATTACACGGACCAACCTGAGCCTGTGCAGTCAAAAGCCTCCTTGTTTCCTCTCCTGGTCTAGCAGCACTCATCTGTGTCCTGTCTCTGAGAGAACTTGTCTTGGATGCAGCCTCCCTTTATATTCTGGCTAGAAGAAAGATCATTCCAGGAGCAAAACTGGTCTGAGAAAAGAGAAAAGGGGAAACTACTCAGCTATACTCCGAGACAAGAAAGGGAAGAAGGAAAAAAAAAAAAGCCAGAAAAAAAAAGGGGAAGCCAGAATGGGTGATGGGGGAGGAAAAAAACACTAGTTGCATTGCAAGTCAGCAGCATTATACATGCAGTGCTTTTACTCATTCTGGCTTTGTTCTCCAGTCTGCACCGCTGAAGCACCAGATAGGGTCCAGAAAGTTTCTTCAGTGGTCAGAAAGACTAAAAAGAGCAAAGGTCACAGACACAGGTCTGTTCAGCTGATTTCATGGGACAAAACAAGCCAGAGTTAGAAGAAAGAGGCTCTTAAAATGGCCTTTCAGCTGTTAACATCTTTATACAGGAAAGCAGGTGGCAGCAAGAACTCTCTCTTGGTTTAGAGTTCAGCTGAAAAGGATGATTTCTATAATGATGCCTCTAATTTTGGATGTCCTTAAGCTTCAAGCATAATTACGACAACTCAGTATTTTGAGGGAAAAGGAGTCAAGTCTTGGCAAAGCAAAGAACATAACCCACGATTCCCAAATTACAGGCTGTGGCTCTAACAATAATTAAAGGAGCAGCACAGCAAGCAGCATTGTAATGATGTTAAGCATCAACATCATACCTTTGACTGCCTCCCCGCCTTCCCACAGTCCTCGAACTGTAGCTGCAACAAGAACTCACTAACAGTCTGTTTTAAAAAAGTCTCGAGAACATACACGCTCTGATACCATGGCAGCATGACACATTTTCCCATTAGCTTCCCACTCTACTCTTTGTTCTGCTTTCTAAGTTTCTGCAGAGTTTCTCCATGTTATCATTAGGAGTGGGGCAGAGATGCTCAGCGATTCTTTAAGCCTGTGCTTCTTGTTAGGCATTAAATTAGCTTTACACTAAAAAAAGATACAATACCTCTATTAGCTATGCCCTTGCTGAAGGTAATCGGAATGTCTGCTAATTGACCTATCTAGCCTCAGGAGTTTTTGTTCTATAGTAACAGATCAATTTAATCCTGAAAAAGAACAAAGACAGCTTCTTATAGTTACACAAAGTTTTTCCACAAGCAGTAGGATTACAAAGGCATCTCTTGAGCAGCATTTGCAAAGGACAACAATCATCTGGAGCACAGATCACATTTACTACCAGTGCCTCACGGTAACAGGCCTGTGGTGACTAGCACACAGAACTGTATGGCAGAGCTTCTGCCATATCTGAATTTCTTGGAAAAATGTTATCTATGCTGGCTTATGGAAAATAGAGTACACTGCAAAGGAAAGCCATTTCAAAATAATTCCTTTTGCTCCATAATGTCCTGACACCCAATTACAGCAACATCGGTATCCACTGTCCCCAACACCAGCTCTGCCTAAAGGGTGCTTGTAGAGTTGCACCTCACAGCACTCTAAATTCACCACTACACTCTTGGGAAGATTAGCCAGTGCAGTGGAATGAAGCTTTCTGCAGCACTTTTCCACTAGATTTTATCAGCTTTGACTCAGCTAGCTTTGCACCTCTCTGTAAAACAGAAGTTGCTGTTTTATGAATGAAGAAACAAGTTTTTGTAAAGTGATTTGCTAATGTCTGTATGGGGCAGGCTGTGGAAGAATCAAGAAAAAATCCAAGCCTAATTCAATCCTGCAGTTTTAGCCACATGCATATTCATCTTCCCCATTCTCCCTGGTTTTCATGCAGCTTGCAAACTTCATTTTTCTCATTAGCAATCATACTCATACACACATTATTAAAAGCACTATTTACCAGAAAAAAAACCACACAGAATACATCAGTAATTTTTAAGTGAGAAAAATAAAACATCTGTATTTCAACAAATACTCAAGACTCATTTTGATACAAAATTAATCTGCTGCTTACTCAGCAGTAGTCAGTCAGTTAGCTATCAAGCAAAACCACTGTCACAGCACTAAAAAGAAATAACACCCAATGAACAACATATTCTGAACATGGATAAACATTCACATAAATAGGGGCTACCACAAAAAGGAAATAAATAACCATCATTGCTGGTTTCCCCAGATCTCCAGCAATCTCCCCTGACCCCCAGCATCTATGGCAGGTGCTAGTCTGAAAGAGAACAGAATTGGTCTACGCCTGAAAGACTTCCCTCCAGTCATTTTGTTTCATTTTTTGCAACTTGTCTAAAGATGCAGACTTTGTTAGGTGATGGGAAAACCAGTCCAGCCATTTTCCTCTCCCCCAGGTCCGTCTAGTCAGTTTGTTGGAAGTGTTAAAAGTGAATAGTGCAAAGAGTATCTCCTACTGCCACGCAGGAAGGCAGACCCACAGTCAAGTGACTCCTGTAACAAAGCACAAACAACTCCTATTAGTCACAGCATTTTTATAGAGAAGCTGCCCTTTTGGAGTTTCTAAAACCAATTTTAAAGAAGAAACCCGAACAGTCTCATCTAACAACTATGTGAATCAAACACCGTTCGTGTTCATTCGGTCTATTGCACCAAAAGCCTCCACAGATATTAAGCCATCACACACTTGTACCCTACAGAAGCTGTCCTGTTAATACATGTAGAGAAATGAAGCCATATGGGATGGGGGGGCAGGGGGAAGTTGTTCAGAGATGAAGTGTTGAAGACAAACTCCATTGAAGTACCCGCTAGTCTTAAGCCCCAGGTTCCCACTAGCTTTTAATACTATTCTTCACTTCAAGACTCACAAGCCAGGCTACAGAGGGCAAACTACACAAAGAGCTGATGCTACCTGCCCAGGATCTAGAGGATTGCTTGACAACCCTGAGCAAGGACATCTTACCACCAGCCTGCTCAAACTTGCAGCAGGGATTTACTTCAGCTTCTGCTGCAAGTGCTTAGCACTCACACACACAAACCCTCTCTTCAGCAGTAGCTGCCCAGGCTTTCCTGGCCCACCAATTATGAACCTCTACTAGTCTCATTTTAGCAGACAAGCCTGTAGAGTGCTACCAACTAGGTATAATGCTAGTAGGCAGTAGCATGGACTAAAAGGCTGCCAAATGTTTGAACTTCATGACTTTTGTATATAATTTTATCACACAGACATCAACTTTCCCTCCCCCGAATGTCAAAGTATTAGCCTTAGTCTATGATTAATGGGTGATTATAGAACTCTGTGTCCTATGGGAACAAAAGTTGAGATAATTTCAGTCCTTTTCTAGGGTCACGATTCATTGTCTAAGCTGTACCACAGACAAATGCGTTTCAGGTTCTCTTCTCAGGCAAGAAATACAAGATCCACTGAGTAGCTACTAACACATTTCCTTCTCACATCCTCCTCCTTTTCCTGAAGCGGGCACTTCTCCTGATTTGAGGAGCACTGGCATCAGCCACATCAGTGCAGGAGCCCGAAACAGACTGTGCAGCATTCTCTTCAGCTCCCATGCCCTGCAACATAAGCAGAAGAGACTTATCAACACCATGTGAGCTAGCATAATTGCAAAAGAACCCCTTCAGCCATCTTTTTATTTTAGGGAGCTCACAAAGATTTCCAAAACAATCTTCCATTTATTTTCAAAATTAAGCATGGGACAACAACATTCTATTACCAAGGTCACAGCAGGCACAAAACATCCCAAAGTTTTCAGAGCGAAACCTTCAGCCAACACTAGCATTTCTTCCTGCTTCTGCTACCGCTACCAAACTGGAGCAGTTCCTGCTGCAGTTTCTGTCTGGGCACAACCGTTTGTTACAAAGGTTGCGGGCACAACCATTCATTAGAGAGGCTGCATGCCTGCCACAAGTGATGCTTTAGCTTTCACTGCTGGAGCCAGACAGTGCCCCAGACAACACAGGTCAACACAAGCTTTTGATTTCTCATAAAACATACCCCTACCACAAACTTTTCACTGAAAAGCACCAGGAAAACAACTTGGCTATAGCATTAATAAAAGGAGTGGGAGGGAGCCTGGTGGAAGATGACACAGGACAGAGAGGTTGGCAGTAAGGCTAGCAGGCAGTGAAGAATTGCTGGTGACTTTTGGACCAACTGCTTGCAGTTCAAACTACACTGAATTTGGCCTAGACCCAAAAGTCAGAGCCAGAACAGATAACTGCTGGCTTTTACTATGGGAAAGCTCTGATCTTCAGGCAGCTTTGCAATCTTTCTGTAGAAACAGCCATTTACCTTGTTTATTTATCTTCATTAGTGTTTTGTTTGTTTATTTTGGAGCCACAATGAATTGAAATGCAAGTCTGAGCTACACAGCTTCCTGGCATGTTCTGTAAGAAACAGTGCTGGGCAGTAATGGATTTAGCTCAAAAATCAGACACTGATTTAGGTTGACATTATGGTCTACATCGATCCATATACTCTAATAATCTCTAGTCATATAAAACAATTCAGGACGAAGACTTCAAACGGCAATAGCAGCAAACGTACACAATCCCCCTGATATTACTGGGGTTTAAAGGACACATACAATGAAAAACAAGGGCCTGATTTAAAAAATACAGGAGTCAGTGCAGCAGATTATAAACCGTAAGAGGAAAGGAGCTTTGATACCCACTTCTGGGAACTATCACGTCAAGTTTAATGTGCTACAAAAACCATGGGACTTTTACTCTTGTGAAGACTAAGGGCTCCCAGCTGAGCTAGAGAGCTTTTCCTTTTATCAGCTGCAAAACTATGCTTCTTCAAAAGGACCAAATTTCTGCTACACGTAAGAACAGTGGGGGTTTCACCCTGGACTCCAGTGCAATATTTAGCTGGCAGTAACTTTCTGCTTTTAGTCCCTGGCACCTCTGTTTTACCTGATTTAGTAAATCAGCATCTTTATCTCCAGGCTCATCACCAACTGTCCAATCCAACCGTACACCTGTTAATTCATTCTCACAACTCTCTTTGTCAGACACTTCCTTCTCACTCTGCCACTCCTCTTCGTCGCTCTCTTCATATTGCTTTCTGCTGGCTGACAGAGTTGTTGTCACTTTTGGAGGAGGCAGAGTTGCTAGTACAGCTGGGAGTGTAAAGGCTGCTAGGAATCTGGCTTTCAGTAGGAGGTAAGCAGGGTTATCGCCGAGTTTCTGCTGCACCAGTTCTTTGATAGCATGCAAATCAACCCCAGCGCCCTCATCCTGACCAGCATCAGAAGCCAGAAGACATGCCGCTTGCTCTTCTAGAGCTGCTTTCTGCAGAAGTAGCTTTGACAGGGTTTTCAAGTTGCACAGAAAAGGTGGCAAATAAGGCAACTTGGTTTGCAGTGATGGTACCTGGACACCTTGTTTCCCATTCAGCCACTCCTTCACTAGCCCCTCATCTTCAAGGGATATCAGGCTAAAGTCAAGTAGATTCTTTTCTGCACTGGAAGTTGTTGGCTGGGGTGGACTGTCAGCGGGCTGCATAGTCGGAGGTTTGGAGGCAATAGGTCTATTTTTCGATGCTTGTGCAGCAAAGCAATCAGAGTTCCTTGGGACATTGTTATGGGGAACTGGATCTCCTGGCTGTAGCACAATCCCTTTTGTGATGATACTTGGATTGGAAGATGATCCGTTTGTTGTAATAGAGTCATGGCTCTTTCCCAAGCTAGTGAGACTTGACACGGATTGGGAATCAGACCCTTGAGTGCTTGCAGGTAGCTGTGTTTGGGGCAGCAGCACAGCATGCAGGGTTGGTGCATCAGGGGGAAGAACAGTCTGAGCTGCAGAGGAGTCAGAAGCCTTGGAGAAGCCATCTGAACATGCAGATGCTGCAGAAGAAACGCTGGATGTGGTGCATCCAGGACTCGCTGAGGTCATAGGTTGAAGAATTGTGGAATGGTTAGCTGTCTTTCCCAAAGGTACTCCTTCTGCTAACTGGGCACTTGGTGCTTTTGTCTCTGCACTGCTGGGGTGAGGCGTATTTGCTCCAGCTGGTACAGGAGGCACTCCTAAGCTAGAGACATTGCCATTGGAAGTCACAGTTGTCTGACATTGACTTCTCACAGCAGCAGCTGGCAGTCCTTGGGGAACACCCACCACAGTTTGTACAGCAGTGGGGAGCAAAGCCTGTGGCGTTACGACCCACGTGAAAGGCAGTATGCTGTTGGGAATCAAATGCGAACCAGTTTGTGGCGTTACAAGAGCAGGCAATAGATTGACTGGCCTCTGTTGTGGCCCATTACTATTTAGCTCACAGGTAACTGGTGCAGAAAGAGACAATTTGTTGGTGCCAGACTCAATGCCAACAGGCACCACTGTAATCTGATGTGGCACAAAAGCTTGGTTTTGCAACACTACTGAAGCTGAGCTACCAGCTAGGACCTGACCATTGCACCCTCCCTGATTTGGGGCTTTCTCTGCTGCAGCTGGATTCATGCCTGGAAAAACCCCTCCTTCAAGGCTACTTTCCAAAGCTTGCTCTTTTAGTTCCTTATTGGATTGTAGTTCCGTCCCTTGTGAGGAAACGGGGCTTTCCCCAGTTCCTGGCACTGATGAAGAATGGTTTTCAAGCACAATAGCGGTAGAAGTTGAACCTGGAACAGAACTAAATGCTGGCAATGGAGCTGGTGCACACTGTACTTGGCTATTTGTACAACTAACTGCTGCAGGTTTGCTCCCTGCTTGTGCAGAAGGAATGATTTGCTGTGGTGTGTGCTGGATTATCAGAGGCCCTGAAACCACCATCTG